AAAAAAAAAGTAATATTATTATTAAAAAAAAATATATAAAATTAAAATATAAAAATAAAATAAAAATATATAACAGAATAATATTAAAAATAATAAAAAAAAAAAATTAATAAATAAAAATTTATATAAATAATTATAAAATATATATATATATATATTTATATATTGTAATATATATTTATATGAAATATAAATTATATAATATAATTATAATTTAGAATTTATTATATTAATAATATTTTGTAATTTTATATATAAAACTTTATTCCTTTTTTTAATATTACTTGAATGCATAGTAATAATGAAAACTTTATATTTTAATATAAAATGTAATATTATCGAAAAAAAAAAAATATTCAATATAATAGTTATATTAAAAAAATAATTAATTTTTATTTCATTAAAAAACTTATTTAGAAACATTAGAAAGAAAAAAAAATAGTTTTACACAATAATATAATATTAAATATATCAATAAATATTATAAAAAAAAAATATTGAAATTATTTATTAAAACATAAAAAAACATAAATCAATAAATAAATATATAAAAATAAAATTATTAATGCTATTTTATATTAACTAAATATTTTATATTTTTAAATAAACAAGTATATAAGATTAATAATATATATCATATTATTTATTTTATAATTTATCTTAATGGAATATATAGCAATAAATATATATCAAAATTTATATTTTATATAAAAACTTATTATTATTGAAGCAAAAAAATAATAATAAATATTATAGTTAAATTGCAATTTTTTATATTATTGTTAAATAATTTATGTTTATATTTTTTATTTTTTTAAATATTCAATATTAAAAAGGTTTTTCCTTTTATTTGCATTGAAATTTATTTAAAAGCATTAGAAGGAAAAAAAAAATGGTTTAAATAATTATAAAAAAAAGCAATAAAAAAATATATAAAATATAATTAATTTAATTAAAAGAATATAATAATATAAAAATAAATATAAATATTTTTAGATAAAATAATTTTTAAAAATTAAATTTAAAGAATATAAATATTAATTTTAATTTTTTTTTTTTTATACATATATAATATATAATATTTGAAATTTATAGTATATTATATTATTACATAAACATATAAAATTTTAACTTAACAAATAATATAATAAATAATAATATATTCATATAATCATAAAAATTTAAAAAATTATTAAAATATATTATTAAAAAAAAATATAAATAAATTTTATAATATAAATATTTTAAAAAATGTAATAATATATATTATTAAACTTAAAATTAATACAAAAATATTTAAAATATAAATATAAAGTATGTAACAATATAAATAAAATAAAAGTAAGATATTAATAGATTCTAAATCGATTATAATATATATAAAATATATAAATTAATTATTAAAGAAACCAATATCTTTAATATATGTTTTTTTAAAAGATTATTTGTTTATTTTATTTTCATATAAATTGTATGGTTATTTATTAATAATTAATATATATCCAAATGACTAAATTTAATTTTTTATAAATTAAAGATTTTATAATAAATTTTTTTTATATATATTCAAATATTATTAATATTAAAATTAATATAAAATTATTTTTTAATTTAATGATTTTTATTAAATAATTATTTATAATAAAATAAAATCTTTACTTAATTTATATATATTATATTATATTTTTATTAATTTTTTTTGAGATATTAAATTTTTAAAAAAAAATGAATAAAAACATATTATTATTTAATATATTTTAATTAATATCATTATTTACTATTTTAAAAATGTCATTTTTTTGAAAAAAAAAATAAAATTAAAATTTTCATTTAATAATTGCATAAAAAATTATTATAAAAACGTATATTTTTTAAATTTACGTATTATCAAAAGTAAAAAGTAATGTTTTAATACAAATATTTGTATATAAATTCAATTATTTTATTACTTAAAAAAAAATTAAAATAAATTAATTAAAATATAATTAAATAAATAAAATGCTTTCTAAACTAATTTTAATATATATCTTAATTTTTGGTGTTTTAACCAATTTAATAAATACTGAAAATAAGTGCCCTTAGGGATGTATATTGTGTAATTAATCTGGTAAATGCTAATAATGCTAAGATGGTTATTAACAAAATTAAGAAAGTAAATAATGCTTAGAAATCGCTAGTAGAGTTCTAGATGCTGTAAATAACTGCCCTGAAGGATGTGTATGTTCTGATTCTGGAAAATGTCAAAGTTGCATATAGGGTTATTATGATAATTAGGGAAAATAATTACGCGCTATAAATATGTAGAATGTCTTAGTTGTGATAATATAGTCAGTAGATGTACTAGATGTACTAAGTATGGTTGCAGTTTATGTGATATTGGATATGAATATATAGATAGAAAAAAATAATGTATTTTGATAACTGTTGATCCTAAACTAATAAATTGTGATTAAGGATGTACTGAATGTGTTTATTCAGGATTGTGTTTATCTTGTTCGGATGGTTATTTTGAAGATTTTGATGAACCTAATGAAAATGGATATAGATATAGATTATGTAGAGAAAGATGTACGAAATTTGATAATTGTATAACATGTAATTAGTAAAGATGCACTAGATGTATAAAAGATTATTGGGTTAGTACAGAACTAAATTAATGTGTAACATTAAAAGGGTGGAATAGATTTTCAGCTATGACTATAAGAAATAATTAGTAATATAATAGTTATTATGAAGTATATAATTTTGTCATTGGATATATTTTATTTGGATTATTATTGTGATTATTTATTTATAATTAGATATTTAAAAATATTTATATTTAAATTAATATTTTTAGTTTTGTTTTTTAATTAATATTTTTTTATTTTTTATTAAATCTATAGATTAAAAAAATATAAAATTATAAAAAATTTTTTAAAAAAAAAAATTAAAAGAAAAAATATATAAATATTCATTATATATATAGAATTAAAAATATTTTTATAAAAAAATTAAAAAAAAAATATCTTTTTATATAATAATAATAATAATAATAATAATAATAATAATAGTAATAATTATAATAATAGTAATAATTATAATAATAATTAAAAAAAAAATTAATAATAATTTAATTAATATTTTTATAAAAACATATTTTAAATTTTATTTTTATTTTTTTTATTATATAAATAAATAATTTTTTTTTTATAATTATAAATTTTTATTTATTCTTAGTTTATTATTATATATCTTTTTAAAAATTTAATTAAAAAACCATATATTAAATAAATATTATAATTTTTAATTATATATTTATTCAATTTTATTATTTTTATTATAATAATTTTTTAATTTATGTTTGAAATTAAAAATAAGAATTTATTTTGATTTTTAAAAATAATTATAATAAAATATTATAATTTTTTAAAATAATTTAAAGTTTAATATTATTAATTTCTTTTATTTATCTATAAAATTATTAAACAACGTAAAATAATACATAATCCATTTTTTATATATTTATATTATTTTTAAAAATGTATTTTTAATTAATATTTACAATTTTTTTTTATTTAATTTAATAAAAATAAAAATTATAAATAAATATAAAAAAAAATTACTAAAATTTTAATTTTATATAAAAATATATAAATATAAATTTTTAATTACTATTATTTAAAAAATCTTCACAATAATAGTCCAAATACAACATAATTAATTATAAAAATCAATAAATCTTAAAAACTAATTTATTATATATTTTCATCTATATTTATATATATAACTCCATTATTTATTTAGTTGCATGATTTTGAAATAACATCTAAGTAATATCCAGGAAGACATTAATTACAAACGTTTTTCTTACAATTTAGACAATTACTAAATTTATTAAGACAAAGATCACATTTTTAACTTTATTAATTAAAATAATAAATTGATTTACATTTAGTGCATACTCCATATTAATTACATTATTCACATTTATAAGAACATTATATTTTATTTTATTCATCACCTTTAGGTATTAAAGTACATTATTCTGCAATACTATCTTATTAAAATCCAGGTAGACATTCGAGGCAAATATTTTCATTACAATTTAAACAATGACTAAATATAATATGACAAGAAACACATTATTAATTTTATTAATGCAAATAATAACCTTATTTACATTGAATGCATATTCCATCTTAATTACATTATTAACATTATTAAGGACATTACATTTCATTTTATCCATCAGGTAATAAAATACATAATCCTGTATTAACATCTAATTAAAATTCAGGTAGACATTCAATGCAAACATCTTCCATACAATTTACACAATTACTAAATTTATTAGGACAAAGAAAACATTATTAACTTAATTAATGTAAATAATAACCTTCGTTACATTAATTGCATCCAATTTAATTGCATTATTCACAATTTTGAGGACATTTTATTTAATTTTATCCGTCATCACCTTTAGGTACTACAGTACATGATCCTGTATTAACATCTAATTAAAATTCAGGTAGACATTCGATGCAAACATCTTCCATACAATTTACACAATTATTAAATATATTAAGACAAAGAACACATTATTAACTTTATTAATCAAAAAAATAACCTTTTTTACATTATGTGCATACTCTAACTTAATTACATTATTCACAATCTTGAGGACATTTTATTTAATTTTATCCGTCGTCACCTTTAGGTACTACAGTACACGATCCTGAAATACTATCTTATTAAAATCCATGAGAACATTCGATGCAAGCATTTTTATTACATTTTAAGCAATTGCTAAATTTATTATTACAAAGCTTACATTTTTAACTTTATTAATCGAAATAAAATTTACTTACATTATGTGCATACTCCTTCTGAACTACATTATTAACATTTTAAAGGACATATTATTTCATCAACTTTAGGTATTAAAACACATTTTTTTGATAAATAATCATATTTAAATTTAGGTTCACATCCAATGCAAGCATCGGGCGTACAATTTAGACAATTTTTAAATTTATTATTACAAAGTTCACATTTTTAACTTTATTAATCGAAATAAAAAATTTACTTACATTATGTGCATACTCCTTCTGAACTGCATTATTAACATTTTAAAGGACATAATTATCTATTAATTTTTTAAGCTTTATAAGGAAATTAAATACATTATCCTATATTTTTATATAAATCATATCCAGGACTACATTCAATGCAACCTAATTCCGTACATACTTTACAATTTGGATATCTATTTAAACAAGAAACACATTATTATTATTATTAATCGAAATATTAAACTTATTTACATTAGGTGCATTCTCCATTTTAATTACATTATTAACATTCATAAGGACAGATTTTTTCTTTATTTCCATCAACACTTCTAGGTTATTAAATACATGCACGTTAAATATTATCTAGTTAAAATCCAGGGAGACATTCAGTGCAAGCATATTCAGTACAAGTTTAACAATTAATTTAAATATAAAAACATGAAAAACATCTTTAGTATAATGATTGTAAAAAATAACCTTATTTGCATTAAATACATAATCCATTTTAACTACATTATAAGCATTAATTAGAACATTAAATTTGATTATTTTATTATTATAGACTTTAAAAATTCGTAAAAATTAATAATATTATGATACTAATTAGTGTTTGTTTTTTGAACATTATTATATTATTATAATTAAATTTAAAATATTTTTTATTTTATTTTTAAAATCATTATATATATTATAATTATAGGTTAAATATTTAAAATCATATAATTAAAAAATTTAAAATAGATTATTATTATAAAAAGAGAAAAAATGTATAAAATAAAATATAAACATATATCTAAAAATATTATATAATATATATATATATATATATATATATATATATATAATATTTATAAATATAAATTATATTATGTATATTATAAATTAATTTTTTTAATTCTATTTTAGTATATATATATATTTTATTTATTTGTTATCTATAAAATATATATATCTAATTACATTTTATTCTTTTTTTTATTAATTTACTAATTAAAAAATAAAATTAAATAAAATTAAATGCTATTTTATTATTATAAATTATATTTAATATAATATAATATAATTTTTAAATTAATTAATTTTATATTAATATAAATATCTGATATATAAATTTTTTTAATTTATATATACATTAATTTTTAATATATTTGTTTTTTTTTTATTTAATTTTTATTTTTAATATATATATTTATATAATGTTTAAATATTATTATTAATTTTTTTTTTATTGCATATTTAGATTATTGAATTATTTTTATTAAATATATTTATATATATATTTATTTTTATATTTTTTATTTTTAATATTTAATTTTTACTATATAATATTTCTTAATTTTAATATTATAATAAGGAATAAAGCAATATTTTATTAAATAATTAAATATTAAATATTATAAAAATATAATTTTTAATAATAAATCTATTTTCTTTAATTTATATTTAATATTATAAAAAAAAAATATATATATAATTTTTTTTTTATAAATATATTTATATTAACATTTCTTATAATTTTATAAGTAAAAATAATATATAGTTTATTTTGTATTTTTTAGATGAATATAAATATATTTTATATATATTATAATTTTATATTTTTAATTTTATTAAATAATATTTCAATAAATTTCATATTTTTTAAATTATTATATTACTATGTTATTTTTTTTTTATTAATTTCTTTTTTTATTATATAACCAAATAATAATTTTTCTAATTATACTATACTATAAATATTGATATTTGCGTATATTTTCTAATTTTTTTATTTTTTTTTATAAAAATCAATTAAAGAAATAACAATAGTATAATATAACTTTATATTTATTTTATATGTAAAAAAAAAATATCCTATATTTAAAAAAATAATTTTTTTAATTTAACTTATTAATCAATATATACGTATTTAACCATATTTTAATAAATATGAAAAATATTCATTATTTATTTGTATATAATTTAAATAAAATATTATTTTATTAATTTTATTTGATAAAACCATTAATATATTTTCTAATATTAATTATATATCTTTTTATTATTTTATACTATTTATAATTATTATTTTTATAAATAAAATTTAATATAATTTAAATCTTATAAAAAATATGTATATATATTTTTTTTATTAATGACGTTATTATTAATATTCAAAATTTATTAAAATAATTAACAAAAAATATAATAAATTTTATATATCTATCTATTTTAATAATGTTATAATTCCCATAATCATATATATTATATATTAAATTAAATTCGCCAAAAAAATCTATTATTTCTATTATATTTGATAAACCAAAAAATCATGATATTATTACTCATGTCACGCCTGGATAAAATAATCTTTAGTGTTATAGCAAAATTTTAACGAAAATATCCTGAATTTCACAAAATAACACAAGGAAACGAAAGTGAAATATCATTAGAGTTAATTATCTATTACCAACATTAAAGATTAAAAACCCAATAATAATACTCTTCCTGCTTCCGTGAAAAATACTTGAAATTCCATTTAGGAGAGCTAATAAAAAGAAAACCTTAACACTCTTTTCTTTAAGCTTATTCCTTCATTAATACAAGTCATATCTAATTTAGTAATTTGTAAAATTATTAAACTTTAAAACAACTCGATTACCTTCTCTTATCAAAATAATATTGTTGAATATAGCTAACTCTTTGCAAAAAGCACACCGTTAAATAAAATGGTATTGGAAAAAATACATTTACAATTTTATAAGAAATTAATTTTATGATGTTTATATTTTTTTATATATATTATAACTCCAAAAAAATTAAATTTAAATACTTAATGTTTTTCAAAGACTATAGTTAATAATTCTAATTATTTATTTAAATTCAAAAAGTAAAAAAAATTTTTATTTCAGGTAAATATATTTTATTTTCAAGGCTTTTATGAAAAAAATTAACTATGAAAAACTTTAAAACAAAAAAATGTTTAAAACTAAATATATTTATCTATTTGAATTAATATTATTTTTTAATAATTTTAATTTATATTAATTAATTTAATTTACTTTGATAATTTAGAATATTTTATTCTATTATTTATTGTAATTTAACAAAATTATATTATATTTTATTTTTATTTAATATTTTTATATATCAATTAATATTTTTTTGTTTATTATTATTTTTTTGTGTTTTATTATTTTTTTATAAAATGAATATTAATAATTCTTTTATATATTATTATAATATTTTAATTTTTTTATTAATAAATTATTCTAATAATATTTATTCATATATATGAATAAATTTTTTTATATATAATAACATAAATTATGATTTTATTAATATATAGCAAAAAAATATATATGATTTTAATTTAAATACTATAAAAATATTTACTATTGATTGTTTTAAATTTTTTTGTTTTTTTGTTTCGTTTTTTAATTCATTTTGCTAGTTTAATAAAGTTATTTCGCTTTTATTTCAATACACATATATATAAATATATATATATATATATATATATATATATATATATATTTATATTATATTATATTATATTATATTATATTATATTATATTTTATCATTAAATATATATTGCTTTATTATTATTTAAGCATTTTCTTTATTATATTAATTATTTTATAATTGAAATTAAATTAACAAAAAATAATATAAAATTTTATTCAATTAAATTAATATATGAAAAAATTTAATTAATAATAAATTGAATAAATTCTTTATTATAATTTATAAATAAATATTTATTTATAATTTTAAATAATATATATAAGTTATTTGAATAAAATATTTATTTAAATATTAATTTATTTATTTTCTATTAATAAACCATTAAACAATTTTTCGTTTATCTGATATTTTTGTATTTAATTTTATTTTTTAAAATTTTATTTATTAAAAAATATATTAATGATATTTTATTTTTATTAATTAAAAAACTTTTTTTATTCTTTGTTTTCTAAATAATAATCATTTTAGTATTTAAATAATATTTAATTAAAAATTTAATAAAATAATATAAAAAAAAATATAATTTATATTATTATATTATTATTAGTTAAGTCTTAAAAAAATGTAATTTATTAATATATTATTTATTATTTATATCTCATATTTTATTTTTAATTTTTCTACTTAAAAAATAAACAAAAAAAATTAAATTTTTAACTATAACTAATTTTGTAAATTTAGATAATAATTTTAATTATTTATTTAAATATTCTAAAAGGAAATAATCTTATATTTTTATTTTTATTTATTTTATTTTAGTTTATTTTTTATGGATTATTGAATTTTCATAAAAAAGGCAGAGTATTTACATATTAATGTATTTGAGTGTTTTTATATTTTTTTTCTTTTATTATTATTTGTATATGGTAAGATTTAGATAAATAATAATAATAGAAATAATTTTGGAAAACAAAATTA